AATTGATATATGCGGGGGAATTTATATATGGGGAAATCCGTTCTGTAACCACTGTTGCTAATAGAGAGAGGTGGATAACGGGGTGGATATTAGAGAGGGTTCACTGTATACACTAAATGCTAAAGTTGTGACATTGGTACATTTGGAGCTTCACTTGAAACGAACTTGTAAGTATTGAATCCAAGTGATAATGCAAAAGAGTCTTTTTAATTGGATACATTAAAACATTATACAGTCGCCCGTCTATTTGCATACTGTTGGAAATATGCAAATACACGTTATCACATGATCGTTGATATACCATCACATGATCAGATTACTCAAAATCTATCGCTATATCATTTTTACAATGAAGAACACTACATTAAGCAATCAACAACGCTATCAAATCTGTTTAAAAAAGCAAAATAATCAAGGAATGTCCCAAAAAGAATTAATAAAGAAGAACTCAGTGTAAAGTTGATCAAGCAACTATTTCCAGAAAAAGCGCTCATCTGAGTATTTACACAATGAAACTAATCCATTACGAAAAAAATCCCGCAATGTGAAATATCCTGAACTTGAACTTGCACTCCAAGAATGGTGCTTGCGCTCCCAAGGCCATATTCCTCTCACAGACACAATAATAATCATAATTGAAAAGGCTAAATTGTTCGTAAAATTGCTTAATATTCCTGATAATACATTGGCATTTTTTTCAAAGCTTTAAAGACAGGTATATAATTTACATTTATTTATTATATTTAATTATTAAACTTTTCTACAACAAATTGGTACATTATAGATAATCTGAGAAGATATTAATTGCATGGAGAAAGTGAATCGGCTGACACCAGTGCAATTGAAAATGAACTTCCTGTATCAGTTCCTATAGACCAGAATGTGTATATAATATGGATGAAACGGGACTATTCTTCCGGTAAGTATAATACTTTAACACTATTTGAATATATTACTAATAAAGTTAATAACATATAGACTTGAACCTGATACGACCCTGGCGACAAAACGAATTGAGGGGGGGGAAAAAGACAAAGAACGTTTAACTACTGTACTCTGTCGTAATGCTGATGGAAGTGATAAACTTTCGCTTTTCGTTATTGGAAAGTTTTTAAAACTTCGATGTATGAAAAATGTTAATATGAATAATCTCGGAGTTATTTATAGAGCAAACGCTAGAGCATGGATGGCTGCGGTTCTATTTCAAGAGTAAGTAAATTATGTTCATAATTCAAAACAACAAACGTATTTCTGTAAAATTTAATAATTGTTAATTATAGATGGTTAAGGTTATTTGATCAAAGAATGAATGGTAGAAAGGTGTTATTACTACTTGACAATGCGCCTTGTCACATAATCAAAGGGTTTGAGTTAAAAAATACACAAATTAAATTTTTACCACCAAACTCGACATCAAGAATTCAACCTTGTGATACCGTATTATTGCGGCTTTCAAGAAACATTAGCGACGTCGATTTGTACATTACCTTCTTGAAAAATTTGAGAAGTTATACTGGTATGTCCAGGTACCATGAAATTCAATTCAATACTTTCGTAAAACCCGCAAATTATTAAATATAGGTAAAATCAAATAGTGGCATTATTTTTATTCTGTCCTCCCGCGTTATCACATTTTTAAATACTTTTCACCTTTATTCAATTTCTTTATTCCATCGAATACCATGCTTAGTGTGCCGTTAGGGCCTTTCCTTATTCCTTCGTCTTCATCGAGAACCTAGTTAATTTGTTCGCGTACTGCTAATAAATCTTACTTACCTGTTGATTGGAATGGGGTATGTGAACACTTTTGTGCCTAATCATAACTGTAATGAGTAGTAGCTACAATAATCAGCTTTACATCTTGTTATAAAATGCTCATCTACCAATCTTCCTCTGTTGTTCTGCTAATTTCGTATTTTTATGTTGTAAGCCATTCCGAAAATGTTGGCATGTGTCACATAAATCCGTTCTTGGACTCATGATTTGAATGTAAGGCGTCAATAAAATCACGGTAGACCGATTTATAACTGTTTTGGCTGGCAATAGTGTAAGCGATTGGGTAATGCGATTGGGTAATGCGATTGACGTTTCTACCAGAGGACTTGGTAGTCCGTGAATTTCAGCATAGTTTTCTTCACGGCGGTAGCAACAGTTATATCAATAGTTATTTTGGTTTCCATCGCGGTATTTTTTTACATTACCATGAATGCGCGGTATTATACCATTCGTCGTCAAGTGATTTCTGACATTTTCGAAGTGAGTGCGACCAATTCCCAACATATTGAGATATGTTTTCTGACACAGAGGCGTATTGCGGTCTCAATAATAAAATGTTCTTTTATTAGTACGCGTTTTCTTTTTAAGGCGTCGGCTGGCAGTTATTTTTCTACCATTCATTGCTTTTAGCTGGGCCATTAAAAATATATCTTGCTCGGATCTAGAGAGAACTTGAAACGCCTCACGTAATTTGGCAAACCCATCTCTCGGATCTTTTTTGAACAACCATAATCGCAACCTATCTCTAGGAAACACATGGCTTTTTCATATTCAGTCGAACCATTATAATTATAATTTTCTATACACGGGTAATCCTATATATAAATTTTAGACTTTCTGCTCAATTGTTTATATTTCAGCGATAATCGGGACGATAAAGTGTGAAAAAATGTATGATAAACTCTAGGAACTCATAACGCGTCTTTTGCTGAAACAAAAAACTTTGTTTCCTTATGCTTAACTTAAACACTCATAACAGGCATTATCATCTTTATTATTCATTGTTTAATAACTTCCTATTTAGTTTTAAATCCTTGATAAACTTTGCCTGTCAAACTATTGCTGCTTGTAGTTTTCGAGAGTAAAAAACAAAAACTATATAAAGAAACATAGGTAAAGGGACTTTCAATTTTTCCTTTGCATTGCGTTGTGTTGTGTCCATTCGTTTCGTTTCGCTTCGTTTCGCTTTCAATGATATAGAAGAGACCAGTACATGCAGCCGTAGTGCGGATACTGTTGATTATGAGTACATAGACTTCCAACTTTCGCCCAACCGACAGAATTGGTGGGCAGGGTGTGCACTGCAAAGTCCAGAACCCGCTTTAACTTCCAGTTGCGTATCTCAACTTTAGTGGTGAATGCCAGTCATTATCATTATCTAAATAGTAATCAGCTGCCTTCTTTAGTAACACTTGATATTTTTTATTTAGATCTGACTACAAATAATAAAGATCAATGGGTAGTGGTAGCAGAGTACACCAATACTTAACAGATATAATAAGAAAATAATTACCCGCAATTGCTATTTTCGTCAGTTTGGGCAGTGCTGTTACTTCTTCTGGTATATCAAATTCCATGATTGAAAAACTATTGGCTGCATATTTGCTGGCCAATTAGCCAGATATATCTCAGTACTTGCTCCTATAAATGTATAATACAACAGATCAAAGCTTTAGCAAATAGTTGCAATTAATAAATAAAATTTTAACTCACCATTAAATTGAACACAGTTGTGATTATGAAATTGGCAATCTTCTTTCACTAATATGAAGTGTTAATAATATACGCGTCATTACAAAATCTACTTAGTATAACCTTTTCCATCTCCACCATTAATTTCACTACTTACCATATCAAACCATACATTCATTGATGATATCTTTTCTAAAAGTAGACTAGACACCATTAGTTTAAACATGCGAATTATAACGTCAGTTTATTAAAGAAAAGTGGCAAACTTCATGAAATTCATAATCTGGCAGCCCAAGAAATTTAACTTCAGAAAAACGACGCCAGCTTGGGATGATTATCAAAAGCAACCATTATACAACGACTACTGAAATGAAGACTATCTTGGAAGAAAAGTATCAATATTTGATGTTAGGGATCATCCTGGTTATATCTCAATTCTTCCAAGAAAAGTTCCTTTATTGACACAACAAGCGAAGACTAATCGCTTATTATGGGCACGTGATCGCGAGCGAAGAAAGTTGTTTTTTCGGATGAAACAACTCTCCAGATGTTTTGCAATACGATGTTGCCATGGTCTCGCGAAAAAAAAACCTACCCAACCTATGGTAAAACACCCTTCTAAAGCCCATGTTCGAGGTGCTATCAATTTTAAAGGAAAAGTCGGTCTATATGTCTTTACTGAAAACCTTGATCGCACTTACTGTATATCGTCAGATTCTAAATGAACAACTTTACGATAATGCCGATGCATTAGTAGGTGGTCGGTGGGTCTTTCAGCAAGACAATGACCCTAAACATACGTCTAGGGAAGTCCAAAATGATCCGAATACCCGTCTTCCACGACGCGTTCTCGCTTGGCCTTCATACAGTCCGAATATCAATCCTATTGAGAATATCTGGATTGTTTTGAAGCATAATGTCGAGAAACATGTTAAAAAAATGATAGCGCAGAAAAAAAAAGTCTCTAAAAACAATTTTACTAGTATTGTTAGGGAGGAATGGGAGAGAATCGATAAAAAAGTGATAGTTAATAGTATCAATAGCATGCAAAATCGAGTTCAAACGTGTATCGATGCTGAAGGAGCACATACCAAGTATTAACATTATAATAAAAGTTGTAGTCATACTATTTAGCATTAAGAAAGTATATATTAATATTTTTCTTAAAATTTATAACAAAGTGCGTTTTTTATTTATAAAAAATTACGCGCCATTATTGTCGCCGGGGACTGTAGTTTCAATCCCATGATAGAATGTGTTCAAATACTTACAATTTTTGAAAGAGGCAATGCACATAAACAACAGATTATTATAGTCAATTTTGACTTCTGATAGTACTTTTCCAAGATCTTCTAAGGATGTCTAAAAAGCTGGATTGAGTAATCATAATAATAACCAATCATCTTTCATGAAATTTTTTGATTACTCACTACATTAAACTTCCTCTTAGGTGTATTTTTTCTTCAAAGTACATCTTCATCGATTCACCTGGCGCTTCTAAAATACCACCATCATTAAGATCGATAATGCCATAATCAAGTGATGTTTTCGTTTTCGGTCTCGTTTTTTGACATTTTTTGTATAAATCCAGAAGAATTTGTTCTATGTCAATATTGTTGATTATGGCATTGAACTTCCACGGTGCCCAATCCAAGTCTATTTCATAAATATCGAGCAAGGGCTGGGGACGTTTAGGAATATTCTGCTTAGGCAATGGTGGCGGCGTTACAAAGGGGTCATTTTACCAGGTGGTGTTGTTGTGAGAACTGTAGGAAAATCGAGGGTCGGCATATAATTTAATTTTGCCTTGTCTGCAACCATACGAGATCATTCCCTATTATATAACAATCAACAGCAAACTTTTTTTTCAACAAACGTTCATCTAACTCAGCTTTTTCGTTATCAACAATATTCCAGAACAATTTAACATTATCTCGCTGTGTCTGACGCTCGGGAAAATAAAATAATTGTGAATTTTAGAATCACAAAAAACGAGACATCAGGAGCTGGCGAATCACTAGGACTGCGAACGAACAGTGCTCTTGACATGAGACGGTGCCTCTAGTCTTCACGCAGATTTAAGACGGAGAGTCCCCATAACTAGCCTGACAGTGCCTGGCCGCTTAGGTGGTTGTTTCGACAATGCCCAATTCCATCTCTATCCTGATTTTTCTCTTAAAACAAATCTAAAGTACTTACTTTGAGCATTCCTGTTGTGGTTTCTGCAACGTATAATACGATTTCAGACTTATCATACGTGAAGTCATCTTTCGTACGACGGAATTTGAGGATCGAAATAAAGCAGCTTCCCATCCTTCAAACTGAAGTAATAAATAAGACGAGAAAAAAAAGGAATAGAAATTATCAACTGCGAATGGACGCTTTAGCAAACGTTTTATACTATCCCCAAAAGAGAAAAGGTAAGATGTTTTCACAATATTGTACTTTTGCTGTGCCGTTGCATGTGACAAGAATCATTAAGTAATAATGGTCGGTTTTCTTAAAATGCCGATATTACAAGAAGAGCAATATGTCCATTTTATATTAGAACATATGTAGAGGCGGGAAATTGATTAACATCGTGATGACATGTTTCAAGAACAATAAACTTAATATACTCGTTCATGATATTGTTGATGTAAATAATGGTATGGTTACAGGTCATCTATGGCTCGAAATAAATTATCTAATTTCAAAAACCTGAATAAAAGTTACAGTTTAAAATTTTTTTAATCAACTAAAAAAGTTTTGAGTTTTAGGGATTGAAAATAACAGTTTTCTTGGAGATTGACTCCTTGCATTTAATATAGAAATACTAATAGTCACGATAATATCACCGGGGAAAAGTAAAATATAACGGTTCTATACATCAACTCTTTTTTGATTGATGATGAAGTCCGTGTTCACTTCAAGTATAAAACTAGCCTTCACCTATTAGTGTTTGGAAAATGCACCAAAGAACTTTCCGGAATCTGTTGTTGTAAAATTCACTCGTCGTTATGATAAAGGTCTTTGCGGAACTCAAGATTGCGCTGCAGCTCTACGCCTTTGAACATCTACCTGGTGGATGGGAATGGTCGTGATGGCATTTGTAGGTGATGCTTTTAAGACACTAGCAGAATGCAAAAAAAAAAAACAACAACAAACAATGTATCAAGCAGGCTGTGGAGGGAAGATGCATGGTAAAGGCTTGTACATGGTGATCTACGTGATCTGAATATCCTTTGCCACTACAATGACAATGACAATTCAGCAGATATATTTTTTTGTTGATTTGGACTGGGCTGATATCAATCCAGATATCACTCGACATCATGAATCTTATTCATAAAGAACATGATTTGTATTTGTTATGGGAAATTTTCAAAAGTTGTAAATAACAGCAGCAAATAGCATCAGTTTTATGTAAATAGTTATTTTTCACAAGACAAAGATTCAACGATAACATACACATTCATGCCTGATATCGAATAAATGACATGTGCTTTATATTGATATTGATTGGTTAATTTAGAGGAAACATATAAGATGCGAGGTTTTTACTTCTTATTGGCTAATGCGAAATTTTTCATTGGTAATTGCAAGAATCAGGTCACGTAATTTGAACTATTTGTAGTACTAGACTATTTGCGAGGTCTATATTAATATGTAATATCGGTTTTGCGAGTTATTGGTTTTAAGTGGTATCGGTTTTCCGAGGTTTGACTGTATATCCGTTCAGTTCTACATTGAAAAATTACTCCACATAATTTATTGTCACAAAGCCCTAAATCTGTCATGGTAAGTATGCAGTAGCCAACAATTATGGGTGTTCACCCAAATTAGCGAGAGCATTGTCTAATGCATCAAACTTTGGGTCAGATGACAAAACACAATCAGCATTGTGCATCGAGTTCAGTAATAAAAGAAAGGTTAAATTTAATTAATACCCATAACTATAACCAGTAAATAATTGCCAAAATTGCTAGCGAGCTAAACTAACGAAGGTAGATATTAACAACAATTAAGCAAAGATGCTAGCCAGGAAACCAAAACTAATAAGAAATTAAGACGCAAGGTACTAAATTGAATATTCAATTATCAGAAAAATTTTATTGTGCAGTAGTTGGAATTTAGTAGTGTTTTGTTCGTAATATGTTGGCGACAGTTCTCTTGGCCTTAAAAGTGATGGTAGTGGTTGCCGACGACACAACGAGTTTTTTATTCTGCAAATGTGGGGGTAGTAAACTTTGTGGCGTTCGATTTTGAGGCCCCTAAAATCATTTATGTGTGGCGCGTTATGTTTCACTATCTTTTACTGTTACCATGCACACAAATGTCGAGATAACCAATTAACAATGGTTGGTTGTTTTAACTTCCATTAACACCGTTTGTCTTTATTCTTTCATTGTGCTGATTGTGTTAGTGTCTTATAGTCGTTAATTGGCCAATTCTTGTTGCTTTGAGATCTCTCGAATAGTTGGAGATATTAATAGCGACCAAAAAAACTTTCTCACCACAACGAGTAATAATCTCCCTCTTTTAGGTATGTTATATTTAGAACATTTGTTACACAACAGCAGTTAATTATAGTGTACGTTATTATTATTTATGATTAGTACGTGCGTATTTGTGTGTGGACACAACACTAAGTGAACTGTAGTCAGCAATTTTATATTCGCTAAGCTCTCCTCCTTAATCGCCTCTCAATAAATAATCTCTCCATTCCCACAATGCGTCTGCATCTTCATTCCCACACCCTCATTCCCATTCCTTCCCATCTCAATACTAGATAGACATTATCACTGGATAATTCTCACATATTTAACGTCACGCATATGACATCATATCATTTGCGAAGGATGGACAATGTGTTTGTCATACGAATATCTCTTCTAACTTTTAACACTTAGTCCAAATAGATGTCGGCGCATGCCAGCACACCCAATTGGAGGACGCACTTGCCGTATAATAGTAACCTCTCCTGCTGGAGTTTCCTTAGTATTATTCCCGTTATGTACAATGCACACACTGATATTGATATGGGCATGGTTACTGGACAAAGTGAACCTGTAACATTACTATATTTTATACAACGAAGCAGAGTGAGTTTTGAACTAATACAAATTGGTATTCCTATCCACAAGGCAAGTGATTGGTCTTCTTACCCACCATCTGTAAACCCAATCGAAAACCTTTAGGGAAAGTGGAAAGAAGTTTACGTTCAATTGAAAAAAAAAAAAAAACTCCCAACTTTTTAACGGTTGAATTTCAAAGGGTCTGAATTATCTCTTTCTTAGGTTAGCGAAAAGTATGAAATATCGTGTTTTGGAGGTCATTGAGCGGGAGGGGCAAGAAGATAGATTATTGAAATTCTACACATAGTGAGTAACTGTATACAAAAATAATAAAAATAAAATTTTTTGTTTCACTGTATTAATAACTCAAACTCCGGTACTGTATGTACATTTATAGATCTTGTATTCCTTAGCTGACATCGACCAATGAATTCCACATATTTACGAAACGGCGAACGACAATTCTCAAAAAAAAAAAAAAAAAATGCTTTCACCATTTATATCTCGACTCTTTTCCACATTACAAATCCCTCCTCGTGCTATAACATCCGCTTTCTTGACCAACCACCAGCAGATAAGATGGAATAGTGGGAAGGTTAACTCGTACAAAAAACCACGGAATAAGACTGCAAAATATCGATCATTTTTGAAGGTATGAAGTCGAATTAAGTCGACAAGACACTAACAATGTTTTAGTATCTGAAATGTGATATCATTTATAGGCTAAATTGCGAAGATTACGTAGGAAAAAGACTTATTATCACAAATAACCGAATAAGTTCGTTGCGTCAACCAATGTCACTGACCCCCGCTGTACAAATCGTAAGCAACGCAAGTTTGATCAGTCGTCAGTTATCAACTGTAACGGGAATGTTATGTTATCTTTATCACAGATAAGAGGCTCGTTCAACCAAGGAGAATAAAGTTTGAGGGAACATTCAGAATGTACATTGTCAACTACTCGTGGAAGTCTAGCATTCATAGAAATCGACAGAATAACGTCGTTCAAGTCAGTTCTATAATCTGTAGATTTTCAGGCGAACGTTGTTGCAATTCAATGACCAGTAATAGTAACTTGCTGGCGACTATTTTTGAATTAAGGGCTTGATAATGAAAGTTGTTATGCATAAGAAACTGAAACTGTCAGCATCATCAGCGTGGTACATCTATTAGTTCAAAATTCGCTTGACACCGTTGAGCCTTAATTTCTTGCATTAAGTAAAATATGATGGCACGTTCTTTTTTTAGGACAGGTCTGCGTGTCTCATAATAAGTATTCGAACATTCTTTACTTGAAATACTTTATGATCAGAATACTATAGTGCTAGCAACATATGTATTCGGTGTTAGGCAAACTACATATGACGGATCAAAAGTTATAAACAAGACAATGATAACAGCTCAAATAAAAAATGGTGAAAAGTACACATACCAGTCATGTCCCAGTAATTTAGAGAGCGACTTATCTTTCGCGTAGGTGTGTTCGCCGACCGGGGGATGTTACCAGGCTTAGTCCGTACTGCCCTTACTACAATTAAGACTGAATTAAGCCTCAAGTGACCTATTTTAATTATGCGCGCTTCTCACTCTCTATCCGAGTTTCTTTGGTCACTCTAGTGCGAATTTAATTTCGTTATCGTTTTTACCATTGCTACTATTAACAACATTATCACTATCGTCTATTTCTTTATTTTCACCGTCTCCATCTGGAGTGGTTTACATTTTTCTTTTCTTCGTCGATCCAACGTTGGATTGCCTCGATGGTCTTTTTCCGCGGGATTGTTTCGAAGATAAAATTTTCTTACTGCAGATGCGGTAATGGCCTTCTGTATTTCAAACCCATTTTTTTAAATGAAAATTTGTCGTATTAGGCTGTTCCACAGCTTTTCGATTTCTGGCGAGTAAATTTTGTTCGTCGCGACGGTTTTGTTATGGGTTGTAACTTCATCGTTTGAATTAAGGCTCCCGTATTATTAATATTAAGCCGACCATTACAAAGTATGCCATTTAGCAGAACGAAGCCAATAAATACTCCAAAAAAGAATTCGCTTGTGAATATAAGTAGAGTGTATCGGTAGATTTGTTTACTACTTTAAACGATATATTGATTTGTTTGGTTGATTTCTGAAGTAGGTTATAACCAGTGCTGTTTTTATAATAAAATATCCGTTTGATCATCATGACGATTATTAGACAAACGCGAATTTCTGCACATTGATACATCAGCACCACCGGTTAAAGTGATGTTAGTCCCTCGCGATAGTTCACTTGCGTATGGATATCCTTCACACGGAAACCCTTGGTAGTCCTAACGAATTCTCACAACATCATTCATCCACCTCCATACGGTTGGCATGATACAGGTTCAAGTGGTTGGAAGTCTTCCTCTGATAACTATATGAGATACAACACAAATTTCACGGAAATGAATAAACGCCTCGGCGGTTTTCACTGGTCGCCCGTTCGCACTTCGCAATTGCTCCACTTTCTTGATATGGAACACTATATATAATATAGAGAGCACTTACCTCTAAAGGCATTATCCCAATATCATTCATAATTTCTCTCATCTTTGTTGCGGAAAGTTTTGATACCAACATTACATCGGCCTTTCACCGGGAGAATGCTTTCTCTACTGCACTTTCCACAATATTACTTAGAACTTCTGGTGAATCCTCATATTTACGCTTTAGCGTCACTGATAAAAGAAAAGCCAACAGTTCATCAAATATTAGCATATAATTTTTACACTTCGACTAAGTTTTATGCGATTGCATGGAAATAGGGAAAAAGTGCCAATTAGTCTATATATTGCCGTGATATGAGGGAAAATCACACATTAACTAACGACGCAAACACGAGTTTGTTTTCCCTCAACAATTTCTTTCGTGTTGAGTTATTATAAAAAGACAGGATAACTACATCGAGCCGTCAGACCCCCCGGTTTCCTAATAAACTTGAAGACATACCACGTGCATTTACGATGACTTGTAGAGGTGATCCATCATCATTCCTAAAACTTTCATCCGGGACGCAAGTCTTCCTCTTCATCATGTCTCTTAAAGTGATGCGGTTAAGGCCCACATCATCCAAGTCGGGTGACAACTTCTTCTTGATTGCCTCTATCAAATCATCTACAATATCTCCGTCGAAGACGAGGCTAACCGGTCGGCCGTCACCATACTTAACCCAGATTTTTCGAGGTGACGAAGAGCGACCTCCATAGGTTTGTTGAGGGATATGACACGTTTGAATTCAAGATGCGACATTTCTAGTTCCGCCGCCCCGACGTCATAGTGGTAATGGTGGTGTTCGTGAGCTGTTTTGTTCCTAGACAATATTAATAAACCCTCCACAAAACAGTATTCGTAATAAATCTACTTTACCGCTAGACAGCTCTGTTTGTAATGGAGGAGTATCGTGTCTGACTGTTGACGTGTCAGTCGTGCCATGCAAAGTCGCTTGAGCAGGAGCTATAGTTATTATCATTATTCTAGCCAGTGGTTTCATTTACAAGTAAAGCTTGACATATCTCTGCCTTATCTTTACCATACAGTCAAACCTCGATGTAGTCAAGCGGGACGGATTTTTCTTTACTATATCGAAACTTCACTATGTTACAACTGCTGAACAATTTATATAAAATGTACTGGTACTAAGTTGTTTAACGTAACAAGTGTCATATTGTTCAATTATGTAGTAACCTCTTGATTCGGTTATGATTTATCGAAAACAAGAAAGACGTAATAGTAATAGTAACACGAACTTTTAATCAACAGGTGTTTGTATTATGATTGGTCAAAATCCATCATGTGGTTATAGATTGCATCTCGATAGTGAATATATAAAATTCACTGTATCGAGACTGGACTATATCGAGGTTTGACTGTATCTTGCTGCGCTCCATTGCATCACGTGGAACAATTGTATGCCTGTTAATCAATGACGTGTTATTGAGAATTTTCCGGAGAGTTATTCTTATTCAAGACAAATTTAATAACCAAATTGTTGAAGACAACATTAAAACTCTGTCGAAATCCAAGAGAAGTATCGTTACGGAAGAAACTGCGCAACAAGTAATCCGCATAGTCGAAAATAATTTTGAAGACGATCGTAACACAATCAGATGGGCGCGAAATTTCTTGACCGAAATGTCAACGGAAGAAAATATTTGTACAAGAAATAACCAAGAAACGTCAACAAGTAGAAGTGCGCGTTTGCACTAAAGAAGAAATGTATGCGATTTTTTGTCGAATACATAAACAACATGGAATTCTCTTAATCAACAATGTTGCTGCTTTGCGCAAGACACATGCTATGCAGCATGTAGGGCTTGCTCAGTTTGTTGTACAACTAAAGGCATTCAAAAAGTAACAGAAGGAAAGCCTATAACCACGATGACAATAATTCCATCAACAATTGTATAATCATAGAGATGATTGGCAGAGAGGTTTTATTTACCCTACCCTAATGGAAGTGAAAGTTACTCAAGTTTCAAGAGATTGTTGGTATGTTTAAGTGATGGGACCAACTGGTCCAACTGGGTTGAAATATGTTCCTGGCAAAACAATCCCCTAATGTCAACTGTGGTTTGATTGGCTACAATATTCTAACACTAAATGATATCTTGCACAAACCCTACAACAGGCAACCCTATATATTTCTTAAAATGATATTCTCAACCAAATTCCACAATTACAGTGGCATCTCTATAAGTGCAAGCCCTTGGGACCAAGCATTGGTTTGCATTTATGGAGGTTAGAAGTTTCCTTTAAAGGAAAGATTTCACAATTACATGTCATTCCTTAAATGGTGGCATTACATGTTTTATTTGAAACTGGTTTGATTTCAGAATCTTTCAGCCATAAATATCACAAATCAATTCTAGATGATTCAAAGCAAACCACATTAGCAACTCTTCAGATGAGTGTAATGATGCTTCACAACTCTTCAACAAACTATCATGACATTGTATAGTATATCTTTTTTAAACTATGCTGTGTGTTACTTCTAAAATAACCAAGTAAACAAACACAACTTCATTGTTTTAGGAATACAAGGAATTATGCCAGGATGCTAAATTTGCATTTTCAGTGAAACTGATAATATTGTTATGCTTCCAAACTTACAAAATCAAAATCCACACAATTTTCCAGCTAATATTGTGGGCTAATACTAAATGGTTTGTAAGATAAAAGTATAATCTTGATTGTTTTCCATTCTTTTTTAATAACTATGAGAAAAAAATTTTATATAAAGGACAGAATATGGATGCTCTCTTAACTTTTTATGGATTGGCTATGAACAGGACTCTAAACCGAAGATGCAAGTGATTTTCTGAGTACTTAGGAATAAAATTACTATAAATATACTCATATTGCAATAGTATAGTAATATGACTCATGCTTCAGACTTCATCCTGTCTGGATGATGTGGTCTTATGTGCAACTAGAGAAACTTAGAAATTTTCAAAATACTGCACATATATCAACAGCATTACATAGATTCCACATCTTCTCATTTGTCTGCCATTTCTGCTATACAATAGTTATGTCAAAGTAGTTACACTAATCAGATGATTGTTGAAGATAAGTCAATGCCTTTACTATTAGCTACACAGGTGATTCATATTTTAAAGAAAAAGAGCTTCATTTAAATACAATAGTAAAAGCAATCTTCTATTGCATTACCACATAACACACATATCTGCTGCATTAATACTGTAAGTATTAATTCTGATTATGAGAGGGGTGAAGCCCCCCAAAAATTAAGTCTAAGTCCTAGTTATCACTATAATATTTTGTATAATTTGTATTGCTAGTAATAATTTTTTGGTGTGTAGGTGATTGATTGCTAAGGAAAATAGAAATTAGAAAACAGTTCAGAAATAGCTATATAATTGATTTCTTATGAATGAAAGCACAAATGGCTGTGTAAACAGTCTATTGTATTTTCATTAATTAAATACAACATGTGACAAAACCATATCCATTATAATTAACTGAGATTTTATAATTTACCATATGTTAAATCTGTAGGATGGAGATGATTGTAATTGGTTACTAATACTGCTGGTAGGTGTGCTGGTTCCAGATGTTATTATTATGTGAGTATTCTCTGCTCTAATGGACAGCCTAAAAGTTTATGGATATATCTCTCTGCAACTTCTTGTCATTGATCTTCTTTCACATACACTTTTGACATCTCATCAACAAAGTGATGGGACCATTGATACATCTCATCTGATATAGGCAGATTTTCATTATTATAGTCTCTCAAGAATTTGTTGAAAATACCTTTACAGAAACCTATAGTTTTTATAAATCTCTCTGTGACATCAGAATAAGATCACCACTATCTAACAGGCATCACATAATGAGATTGCCATGAGGATTCTAATTTTTGTGTATCATGAAGATGTGTCCACAAGATTTCAGGGATGCATGGAAATTTTACGAAGTTGAACAATCTAGCAGGATCTTGTAACAAGATCACCAGGATACTAATAGAAATTTAGCAATTTGTTGGTGACATCACAATGAGATGTTAGCAATATTTTCTGATTGTAAATGTCACATGGTTATCAGCACAACATCCTGCAAATCTCATCAAGACATTTTTAAAAAATGCAAGTTTCTGTAAAGACTGGTAAAAATTAACAGGCCAACCAACATTTGGTTGATGATTCTTGAAAAGTTCCTGGAATTTCCAGTATTCAGATGGTACAGCAACTGTTGAAGGTGCATCAGTGTCTTGTATCTGTGTGACATTGCTTTCATGTTCTTTGATAACAAAGATTGTATTGATACATATTAATATTGAACTCTATCATTATACAAAAGTATGTCACATGAACTTACCTTGCTAATAATATCAACATCTTCAAAGTTTATAGAATGCTTTTGTCTGTCCAAGGCTGAAAAAAAACAAGACAATTCAACATTTCTTCCATCCTGTCTACATACACACTCTATGTCCCAATGCCCAAGTCACAAAGTCATTACCTGTTTGGGTTGTGAAGGATGCAAGGGCTCACTTATGCTGCAGCTCCTCCACCTGCTTCAAACAATCCCTTCTGTCCTGCTCCAGCTGTCAGCTGCTGTCCATATCTTCCCTCCTTAAGCTCTTTTAATGCTTCCTTTGCTTCATCAACTCCTGTGTGCTGGCATTTGAGAGATGTGTTGCACAATGTGATCTAACACCATGTGGCTTAATCAATGACATATGTATAAGAACATTCGAGATCTTTTCACAATGTAACTACACTACCCTACCATAAATCACCAGATTTTTTGTCATGTGTTTGAAATAGATATGAAATTTTTGTATTTTCTAAGCGACGTTGACAATTTTCAAATTTATTAACCATCGATACA